ATGTAGAATTTCTTTCTATTTTATTAAATAAAGTTTCAACTATGGCATTTACAAAAAAAAAAAAAAAAAAAAAAAAAAACAACTTGAACTCTAATTTATTTAATTTTTTTATTAATAGATCTGTTATTAACATTGGCACTGGCCAATGTTTTATAAAAATTGGCTAAGTTCAAGTTAATAATGATAATCAAATAAACCATTATTTTAATGCTCAAATTAAACTGAGACTATCTTTTTACAAAACAGAACTTTTTGCTATTTTATTAGCTATTTCTACTACTCTTTGCAACTCTGTAATTGATATTTATACAGACTCTTAATCTACTATTTCTAAATATTATAAACTTATATCTACTATCTTCAATCCAAACAAACTTTTTAAATTTAATGCCTAACTATTATGGTATACACTTCTTAATATTATAAATTTTATTAATTACAAGTAATCTTTTATAAAGTTCAAGCCTATACAGATAATATTTTTAACAATTTAGCAAACTCACTTGCTAAACAAATTGCTATTCTATATTTCAAATTCAGTTATACTAATATTTATAATTTATACCATATATTACAATATAAAGAAGAAAATTTTTTTGTTAAACAACCAACTTGACCTTTTATTAAAGCTATTTGCAAAGTTTATATTCTAGCTATGTGGTTATCTTAGCAACACAATAAATAATAGTCTTAAGCAAATAACAGAATTAATTAATGATCTACCTAGTTATACTTTAATTATAACCACAAACCAGGACTCCGAAATACATATAGATAGGTCAAGTTAATTATAGGGTTACTAAAAAAGGCAAGATCTGCATAAAAAAACTTCAAAAATAAACAAAAAATTACTATAAATAGAAAAGATCTGCATAAAAAACCTCAAAAATAAGCAAACTCATATCTGACCTATCTATGTATACTTTGGGGTCCTTATATATCTGATAAGTTCCACTTCAAAATTAGTTCTATAAAGTCACCAAATGCTTCACTTGGGAAGCCTAAACTATTTGCCCTTAAGCTATGAACATCAAAGGATATAAAAATTGCAGTGGGTTCTATATTAAGCAATAAATACTTAATACTAATAGTGTCAGAAGTTTCTGTTTCAGTAATTTCCTATATATAGATATTATATATATTATGCAGGATTATGTAGAGCAGAATAAATAATTAGAAATTTTGATCTTAATTTATTTTTAGACCTGCAGTGTAACTAGTACTTTGTACATACTAACTACATCAGTTTCATTATCAGTTTCATCTATATCTATCATATCTACGATAACTGCATTTTTCTGTTATTCTTTTTGTTTCTCATTATCTTTTTGTTCCTTATTACCTATTATTTAAAATTCTTGTCCTCACTATCCATTATTTGTAACTCTTGTTCTTCATCACTAATCACTTGAAATTCTTGTTTCTCACCATCACTCATTTAAAATTCATGTTCTTCACTACTTATCATTTGTAATTCTTGTTCTTTGTCACTTATTGCTTGAATTTCTTGTTTTTTATCACCCATCATTTGAAATTCTAATTGGTTTTATCACTTAATATTTGAAATTCTAGTTTATCATATTGTGTAGTATTTCTCTCTCTTTCATTTGCAATTTCTTGCAAAGCTATTTCAATAATATTGGTATCATGCTTTTTTATATGATTTCGTAGAAAAGAAAGACGTGCAAAGTATTTTGGACAATACAGATATTCATGTCGCATGATAAAATATAGCTACCTGCTATTAATATAATTAACATTTTAAATATAAAAAAAAAAGAATTTA